GTCGCTCGGTGTATGTCCGAAATATTTTCCAAATACTCTTATTTCTGACTTACACCGGTAAATGTCGACATTCACCATGTACTAATGGTGAATGTTGAACATATAAGAATAGTATTATATTTTCTTCTCTGTAATTCAGTTGCGAAAAACGCACTTGAGACTTAAAATAAGAACTTAAAACACACAGTACATTCAAAATGAGAAAGGAAAATAATAGAAGTTAAAAACTTTCTAAATTATGTGATTCAAACTTTATTTATTGCAATAACTTAAACTATTATGACACTTTGAATTGCACAAGAGGCCCTTGTTTTTACAACTGCATTTTTTTGTGGAACTCTTCCTTTTGCAGTGACAGCGTGTACATGTACTCCTCTCCTTTCGACCTACACTAGAGCATATCTGTGATTGTCGACATACACTGTTTAGGGTCCGAATGTAGAAGAATGTAATGCAATATTCGATCTTTCACTGACGTAGTTTTTGAATGTAGACATTCTCCGGTGAAAGTCGACATTCTCCAATTTCGGTCTTTCACGGTAACATATATAAATACACATCTAATAAGTCATATACTTACATAGAAAGAGAGAGAGAGATGTGATGGTTTAGAAGTTTTTGATGTATGTGTGCTAGTATTAATGTAATAAATAAGATTAACCATAATGAATAAGATTTACAGTACAAATGTTTTTCATCATGAATAATAATAAATCCATAAATTTCAAATGTTTCAGTAGTGCCAGCATTTACAATGAAAGTATAGTTTCTAATCTATTTATAATCTAAAATGTATTTCATAAATAATATAAAATAATGGCATACAAATTTAATGAGTATTATCATTATTACTTAAGCTATGTTTTCCCTTTTTATGCACCTTTATGTTGTTTACAGTGTGTTGCTGCCTATGCAGTATACAATTTAAATGATAAGTAATTAGTAAAAAAGTAGTCCTACATTCATAAACAGATTTTTAAAAATTATTTACCTTAAATTAAATGAAAAAAATTCTGTTATATAACAATAATGATATTTCTATGGGTCAGTACAAAATGTAATTTTGGCAAATTTTTGGCAATGAAAAATTTGTACTTAAAACACCAAAAGTACAAGAATGTCATAATATACTCTGTACTCTAAAATTTAGATGATTATAAATTTAACCAGTGTATGAACATTTTAAAAATAACTTAGATGGTTATATTATAAAAACACAGCATAAAAATATAGTTTTTATTATTATTATTTCTTTGATAAAATCGGCATCCATTTCTATTTATTTCAAACTACAGCCATCACCATATTGGAAATTCCTTCAGAAGCAGAACTTTCGTCTGATTGGTTTATCTTTACATGGAACACACCTAGAAATGAAATGTTTTTAGCAAAGTTTCAAAATAATCGCTTCCTTGGCTAGACAGAACATCAGTTCTAGTCACGCTGGTTTTTCTTGGGTTCAAAACAATGCTACCAGAATCTTGCTTCTCAGAAATTTCCGGACCAGCTGCGCGTGTTGCTAGGTTTGGTAACCCCTTTAAATGAACAGTGCTTATTTGCTGTTTATTGTGCTGTTCATTTTGCACCACCCTACTGTAGCCTATTACTTCAGAATAGGCAACTAAAGGCCATTTCTTTTCCCCCAGTCATGACTAATAATCATCGCAATGACAGCTGTGAAAAAAATTCATATCCTCTAATTCACTAAAATCTCCTAATTCTCTCTGTGTGATGACAATGACATGTTATGATCGCAAATGTGGGGAGTGTTGTTCTTTGTGGATGAAATGATTGTGAAGAAATCATTGGAAGGCGAAAACAAAATCGTACAAAACATTTTAGGAGAAAACATCGCAAAACAGAAAATCGGTAAACATATATCGCAGTTCCAAACATAATTGTAAAAAATACTGTTGAAAAGTTCTGCAGTTTTAAAATATTGCTGTAGAAAATATTGTTGCAAAAAATTGCATGATGTCAAAAAAAATCGTATTGCATCTACAAATCATCATGATATACTGAGGCATAATTATGCATTGAAGAAACAGGTTTTCAAACTTTGAAACTTTTAAGTACATGTTTGAACTACTAATCCAGCATTATTAAAGAGATTACTAATAATTAAATTTTATAAAAAAGATTAATTAAATAATGATTTTTATTTGTTAAAAGAAATTGCTGTTATTAAAATATGCATATTTTAGAAATTGTTTCAATGTATAAGTATATAATTTTTTTTTTGAAGTTATCACATGCTAATATTTTAGCATTGTTATATACTATATTTTCAAGAGTGTGAGTTAATTTTTGGTACACTTAAAAACTCTTCATTGACATTACTTACTTTTAAAGAAGGAACATTGTTATAAAAGTTTATATATAAGTTCAATTAACTGCTATAGATAGCATTAATTTTCTGCTCATTTTCAGTTCTTGATTGCTTAAGTTTTTCTTTTTGCTTTTCCAGTAAAAATTCGTTAATTCAAAAATATGAAATACGGAGGAAAAAGTATTTCTCATTCCCTCTCGCATTCACAAATCATTATGCAAATATGCATCTAAAACTTTTAGAGTCTGAAAGTGTATGGCTGCAATATTATCATCATGCAATGATTTCTAGCTACTTTATTTTTTACCACAATATTTTCTATACTGTTTCTAAAATGTGAAGTTTTCGAATTACTTTATTTTCTGTGGTGAGATTTTGTATTGCAATGTTTTGACCTTGTGTTGTATTTTCACAGCAATTTTGCCACAATATTTTCACTTGTAAACAGATGCGACACCTAGTATCCGTATCACTGAAAAAATGAGAATGTTATACTGTGAAACATTTCAAATGCATCATCTCCTTTGTTTTGGCAAAAACAAAGGTCCAATTTTGCCATTATATCATAAACTACATTCAGTGGTCTTTTACGAATGTAAGAGCTTCTTGTGCTCTTACATTTTGAGAATTATTTTCAAACCATGGTAACATTTTAACATAGTTGCCATTTCATTTTAAAATCATATTATTCTTATTAGAATATTCTGTATATATAGGCAAATCCAGAATTTACCAGAACAGTCACATTACAAATATTTCATAATTATTGATCCTACAATTGGGCCTTGCTAGTTTAGTATTTCTCTTACCTACTTGCCTAATGGCATCTACTTGAGAAGAGAGATTCATCTTTGGTACCATTTTTTGTGTATCCTTTCATTTTTGCAATATGTGACAGAAAGAACAAACAACTTTTGTGAAATTTAATATTTTGTTGAGAAAAACAGCTACTGAGTATGTTGTTATGCTTTAAAAAGCCTTTAAAACGATGCTTTGAGTAAAGGACAAGAGTGCAAGGTAATTCTCCAGATTTGAAAATGGTGTATTGAACGAAGATTGCTATGACCTGGACATCCATTGATGAGCATGGATGAAGAGAATATTGTGACAGGCTATTGATTAAAATCACCAAAAAAGCCATTGGTCAGATTTAATGTTGCCCGTCTGACTCTTCTTGGAGAAAGAATTTGGTGAATAGCATGAGTGGTGCTTGTGTCTCACTCATGCTATTCACCAAATTTTCTTGCTTAGTGCAACTTTCTTCTCTTTCCATGGATAAAGAAAGCTTCCAAAAAGCAGTTTGGTGGATAAAAAAGGAATTCAGTGATATGAATGAAGTACAAGAAAATATATTTTGTGGCTTGAAAAATATTTCATGTCTTTCAGTAGGAGTATAGAAATTTCAGTAGTTAGTATAGAATGAATCTATACTAACTACTGAAGAGTTAAAAGAAAAGATTAATTGTCCACTGTGAGCAGTAAAATCATTGATAATTCAACCTGGGTTTTAATACTAGCAAAAGGGCTAGCTGCGTGAAAGATTTAGTGGTTTTCTCTCCATATGTAATGTGAATATGAGCCACTTTCTCTTGTAAAGTCCTTCATGAAGGCCTCCTTGCCCTAGGCAAATAATCCTTTTGTGGTTTGTCATAATTTAAGTAATCCAGCGCAATCCAAATATCCATGTTCAATTTGAAGATACTTGGAATCATGTCTAAGCTTGGCAGATGAGTTCAACATGAATTTAGTCGAAGAGAATATGTGAACATTTGTGATGCTGTGCGTTCACATGGAAAAAAAAATTACCCCCCCCCTTTTTTTGGACCATCTAGTGACTCCAGTGGTTCAAAGCTTACGGAATTTCATTTATGAAAGAAATATACGAGGCACTTGAAATGGATCGTCTAGACATTTTCACCAATAAGTCAGCAGATTTCTTTTGGAATAATGTAAACAAGGCTGTTATATCATTGGAAGATTGTTATTGATTCAGATGAAAATATAGAATTAATTAAATTAGTATTGTTTTTATTTCGGCAATTTTCTCTTAGCAGGTTGTGGTAGCTTGTTTATTTCACATCATGAACAGCTGTGCAATCATAATACATGTAATGTTTTAATTGTGCAATTAAGAAGGTGTGAACAATGTTAAATTTGTGCAAGTCTATCTCTCTCTTTTTTATTTTATTTATTTTTTTAAAACAAAATAAGATTGTTGTATACATGGGGAGAACAGTTTTATTCTTCCTATGTAAACAGTCATCTCTTCTCACTTAAAAAAAATTAGAAAATTGCACAAATTTGGTATTCTGAACATAAAATATTTTGTATTTATTATATATATAATAGTTATTTATTTATTTTTTTTTTTTTTAAGTTCTGTGTATCTTTAGGGTTGCTGCTATCTAGTTCGATTCTGCAGCAATATTATTAAGTGGCACTTTGTTAGCAGAAAAGCATTCATATTTCTTTGAAAACTAATTTAAAAAGTGATACTGCTTACGGAATGACCTGACACATCAAAAATGTATGCTAAAACTAATTGGAAATAAGCCTCATATTTTAAATTGTGTTATTTGCATTTTAGGAAATCTTATTTCCATATGCATATTGTTATAAAAATGGTTTATGTTTTTAAGCATCTTTTAAGGTCTGTTTTTCTTTCTTTTAGTGTTCTATTTATGAATCTGGCCTGACTGATATTATCACAATTGCTGTAGATCAAAGTGGGTTACCAGTTGGGGTATCCATATCAGCATCACCACCTTACTGCATAGGAGCAGATATCTCTGATCCTAAATTAAATACTTTTAATACTACAGTCAACTTTGTTTCACTTGTCAATGGCCCAGCGTATGTAGTATTTTAAAATTTAATATTTTTGTATGAAATGTAATTATTTTTATGTTAGTTTTAAAATAGTGCTTTATTTTTTGTTTTTTATTTTAAAAAAGCATTTTTTAATGTTTAATAACGTTTTATCTGTTAAGTTGTAACCCCACTCGCCGTGGGCGCATGCATTATTGGGATTTGGGCCGCCTCAAACGCACGAACCGATTCCGAACTCATGGTCTCAGTTTTCCAATCATAGTTTTGTACGATATATTGGTGCATGCATGTGCATGCACTTTGCTTTATTATTAATTATTACTTAATTCATATTGTTATGGATTTCATAGTTATTTATTTAGTTTTTTTTAAATTTAGAATTGTAATTAGATTTGCTTAACAAAGTGTTCATCGGCCCTCGCGACAGCCTATAAGGAGTTATAAGTTCTGACGTCACTGTTGCATCGCTGATTTCACACTTTTAAAGCAGTAGTTCATTCTTCTTGAGGCGTTTTCTGTGTCGTATTCAAATTTTTTATTATATATTTGTTTTCCAATAATGTAAATATTTAAAATAATTTATATATATATATATAATTTTAGTCAATTTTGCTTTTAAATTCTATATTGTAAAGTATTGTTTATGTAATATGGTTTCTTGCGCTGTAGTAACATGGCATAACACTTATAAAAATACTAGCAGCTTGGCTGCCAGCCTTCGTCTGGCTTTTAAATGTACCGGAAAAATGGCTGAAGGGAACACCAAACGTTAAATTTAAAAACTGCATAGAATTTTACCCTGCAGAACAACTTCATAAAAAAAGTTATTACGCATAACAAAATTACAATTTAAATGAAATAAGCAATATCCCTTAATACAAATATTAATTATCCTAATAAATAAATTAAATATCTTTCCTTTGCTTTCAAATGGTATAAAGGAGGTTAAGAACTTTGTTTCCTAAAAAAATCACTCAAAACTTTTCAATATCTTAAAAACAGTGAAATGAGCAATAAATAACATAAAAGAATACAAAAAACAAAAAATTCTAAAAAGCAAAGCATAATTAATGAAATTATATTTTCTTGAGAAAAAAATTACAATGAAATAAGCTATATCCCTTAATACAAATATTAATTATCCTAATAAAAAAAATTAACCAACTTTCCGTTGAATAAAAAAAATCATGCAAAAATTTTCAATATGTTACAAACAGTGAAATAAGCAAAAAATAACATGAAAGCAACTCAAAAAAAACAAAAAGTTCCGCACAGAATTTTACCCTGCAGAACAACTTTATCAAAAAAAAAAAAAAGATTTTAAATTACGTCCAAAGGGGCATTTTTTAACATTTTGTGTGTTACCTTTCTTTATTAAATATCATGTTCCTCGCACTTAAACCATAAGATCCAGTGCAACAGCAATATCGCAAAATAGTTTTAAAACGAGCATATCTTTAGAATTTCCGATACAGAGACTCACGCGCTGGAGATAAAAATGTTTTTTCTGCACAACATTGCCATTGCTCGCTTTGAAATCCTTGAGTTTGTTAATCAAAAATTCGTCAAAGTTTTTAAAAAATAGGAAATCGATCATAAAAACAAATTTCAAATTTGGTCTTCCACATGCTCATATTCGTTGGAGGATTACGTTATTCAAAATTCGATGACTCTATGTACCGTTGTTTATCATCACAATACGAGAAATATACATACATTTATGCAGATTTTTCATTATTTAATTTCTTCAAATATAATGCAGGACTCTAACATTTTGTGGCAACAGTTTGAAAAGTGAACCGACATTTATGAGTCCGACGCAAAATGCCAAAACGAAACTAATAGTCCTTCGGGATTCAAATCCCTTTGGACTAAAAAAAAAAAAAAAAAAAAAAAAAAGAAAAAAAAAAAGAAAAAGTATTATATATATATATAAAGACAATGAAATATGCCAATTTCTTAAAAATAGTGACATAAGAAATACGATGAAAAATTGTTGCCAAAACCCATATTCCTAAAAGAATGAAACTATTCAAAATGATGCGATTTCATCAAAAATCTATCAACAACAATAAAAAAGGAAAATTGTTGCCAAAATCACATTTTTAAAGATGTGAGAAGTGTACTCGGGAGCTTCATTTAAAAATTTTTTTAAAAATGCAAAATATTATCATTTTTCCAAAATTCTTTTTGTAAAAGCAGTCGCAAGGATGAAAGTTTAACGTGTACAAAAATCAAAGAAAAATAAATTGTACATTTTTAAAAATAAACTTTTTCAGGAAAAAATCCCTTTGATAAGGTGTTAAGCTCACTTTGTTAAATAAACTCGTATTGAATCGATTTATTGAAACACAAAATTTATTTTAAGTTCATAAAATAGCTAAGTGCCTACGTTTCATGACAATGTGAAAATGGAGTGTGTAGAGTAAAATCTCGCTTTCCTATAACCCAATATGTCTCAAAATGACTCGATTTCGTCACAAAACATAAAATAAAAAAATTCGAATTCGAATTTCGAAAAAATCGCTTCGAGGTGCACTGGCTCTTGTCTAGATGCACCTATGTACCAAATTTCGTAGCCGTGGGTCTATTAGCTTACGCACAGTGCAAACGAAAGACACACAGACTCTTTCTTTTATTATATGTAGAGATATGAAATGAAGAGATATTGTATTTCACACTTTCCCAAAGGACAATTTGTTTTTAATGAAAGAATGGGCAGAAAAGTCGCAGACAAGATTCTGTTAATGAGAAGAGTGCAAGAATTTGAATGTAATTGGCTTTTTAATTACTAAACTAGAGAAACATTATTTTGAAGTAAATAGAGATGCAATTCATTTATTATGCAGAGAGCTAAATTTTATTACGATATGTTTCTTAAATAGAAATGCATATGATTTTTCCCAGAGGAAAGGAACACAAAAAAGAGGATTACTTCGATGTGGTAACTAATAAATAATATTCAAACAGTTTTTAGTTGCAGTGCGACTGTAGTAATTATTTATAACATTTGCATTTACATATAATATGTTTTGATTTGAAATATATCTGTATGACTTTTTTAGAAGTTAATAGCATAAAACATACTCGAACAAGAATTACTTTTGTTAAGCACCTGTTAAAGTTATTTTTATTATATTCTTTGTAACTAATTATTAATTCGATTTTGTGCTACTTGAGCATTCTAGATAAATTATAGTAGTATAAAACATCAAAGTAATTGGCATTAAAAGACCTGCCTCCTTAGACCCCACTTTTGAAAAGTTAAATTATTTATTTTAGGTATTGTGAGTAAAGCTATTTTGTCAAATTTAAGACAACAGTTTTACATGTTCTATTTATTTAAATGTAATATAGATGTGATTATAAGTTATTTAGAAAATATCTGATACTATCTTAGTTTTAAAATAAAGGATCTTTTACATCCTTTTTCAAATCTCTGTAATACTTCTGAAGACATAGCGATAAGTTGCTTACAGTCTTATGGAGGACTAAACACTATTTACATTTAGTAAAAGGCACATTTCTTATAACTCCATGATCATTCTCATGTAATGTTATTGTATAAAATCCACTTCTCATCTCCAGTAATAAGCCCTTTCAAAATAGGCACTTCCTCATTTCTTTTCAGAAATCTTCTGCTTTGTTAAAGTATGGGGTACTCATATGTCTTACTCTCTTTCATATCAATTCTACAAATGATCATATATTGTACTTTGGGAAATATTTAAACTATGTGATAGTAATTAAGACACAATAACACGCCGAACAAATACTAATTCAGAAGTCAAACAACAAAAATCAGCGTTATATTTTCAAAGGAGTAGTTTCGATGGTTTTACCGAACCACCATCTTCAGCTGCAAAAGCGCAAATGAACGAGATAGGATATAATGATCAGATGAGATAAGAAAGCCTGGATAGAAAATAAGCTAGTGGTGCCATCTGTTGATGAAACCAGAACTAAAACATAATTTCTTTAAAGGCCAAAGGCAAAAATGGATTGGAATTAGGATCATTAACTAGAACAGAAAGATTTTTTTTTGAATGTGAAATGCCTCTAGAAAATCCAAGTCTCCAATGGAAGATGTTTTTTGAATAATTTTGGCAACAGAAAAATTGAAAGTGTGATTTTCGGACCAACAATGTTGGGCAACAGAAGACTTCTGTGTTTCCTTTTTTCTAACATATGCCTCGTGTTCCTTGACGCGAAATTTTAACCTCTCTTATTTTGGCCAATGTAAATTAAACCGCACTGGCTAGGAATCCTATAAACACCCCAGTAATTCATATCCAGAATGCGGTCCTTGAGTATGGAACTCGGAATTTTATTGATGGGAGAGTAAACAACCCGAAAGTTAAATTTCTGCAAAATACGTGCAACTTTATAGCTAATTGATGGAAAGAAAGGAATGACAACATAATTTTTATATTCTCCTAAAACAAAAGTGTGCCTTTTGGTGTCTTGAGGTAAGAATTTCTTAACTGCTTGAGTTAATATTGTGTGAAAAGCCCTTGTCAATAGCTATTGCTTTTAAATAGTTTAGTTCTTTGTCAAGGGATAGTTTGGAAAAGCAAACTTGAAGAGCATGGAAAACATAAGAATAAAATAAAGCTAACTTTTGTTTATTCAGATGACATGATTTAAAGTGTAGTGGAAGGCAAACCGATCAAGGTTTACGGTAAACTGTAGTACTGGAGTTGGATGTGTTACGTGTGACCGAATGTAAAGAAACGGAAGAGAATTGCAAGTCTCAAGTTCAAAAGTGAACTGAATAGCAGGATCGATAGAATTCATTGTTGAAAGAACTTTATTTAAATCATCTTTATTACCTTCAAACAGGGTAAAAGTGTCGTCTACGTAGCGGAACCATACTGGGAAATTTAAAGTTTCAAACAATTTTGATTCATAATAATGCATGTAGATATCAGCCAGGATGGAACTGAGGGGGCTTCCCATGGCTAATCCCTCAGTTTGCTTGTAATATTTATTTTGGAAAACAAAATGTGTTTGTTTCAAACAGA